GTTTATCTACGAGTATTCTGTGTGAGTTCTACTTGTGTGTATCCATAAGAGAGTTTGTGTGAGAGATATTTCTCATATGAGTTGAGGGCACCCACTTGATAAATTTTATATCTTGTGTGTTTATTTTACATCATACATACATATCATTCACTCTGCATTAGATATGGTGATTATGATATTATTTATGTGTTAAAATAATTTGATAGCGTACAAGCTGAAAATTTAACGTCAACACACGATCACGAAGTGCTACAAACCAAACTGTGAAGAAGTTGTGCATGACGGGATTGATGTGGATCAATGGGATCATATAGTGGTTAGATGGATCGGCTGAAGGACAACTGAAGAGATCTTCTGGAGTGCACTAGTAGGGCAATTGGGTTGAAACTGACGGTGGAATAAATCAATTGAATGTGAACGAGCATAAAGATTTGTTGTCTTGCTGAGTCTGGAGGTAAAACTATCGTTCATCGTGTTGAATTAGACTAGTTGTACTCTCTTTCTTCATAGTGAATTTTTTTGCCAAACCAAGTCCTGAGATTTTTTAATCTACCATTGGGGTAGGTTTTTCCTTGTATATCTGGTGTGCAAATCTCTTACTCTTTTATTTTACTGCACTTATTAATTGCTTATTATTACTATATGATTGATGTATGCTTAGATGATTATTATGTTGAAATCAATACACATATGTGCTTAAGTGTTCAAAGCAATTAAGTAGATATAACCTATCATTAATTGGGTAGCTAAATCAATTAGGGTCTGATCCATTTAAAAAACCCATATTTATTTTTTGGTTTGTTTAAATATTTTATTTATTTAATTTGATTTTATTTATTTAACGGTCAAGAGTATTAATTATTTATTGAATACAACACATATTAAATTTACCAATCATATTTTAATTAATATATCTTGGATATATTATCTTCCGCATTCAAATGATAAAGAATTGATGAATTTATAATAAAGTCAGATTAAGCCGAAAAAGTGGGAACCGACCTATTCACCCCCCTCTAGGTCATATCTCAAGATCTTATTCGTTGTGTTCTTGATTGTGACTGGTTCAGTCTCAGTAGAGACCTTTTCAGTTAAAATCATCCCAAAGTAATATGATAGAACTTTTATCATCAGGGCGAAACCTTTGGCCTAGACCATAATAGGATTGCGGGCATGCCAGGATCCAAGAGGATCCGAGAGTGTGACTGGTGTGTGTAGCCAAACAGTTTCCAAACAATTGAGGAGGCCAGTTATGATCAGGTGATTGTTGAAAGGTTGGGAATCACCCCTTTCTTAATTTTCTTTAATATTTCGGAGATCAGAAGACTTTAATCAAGTCAAGTACAACCAAAAGAACATACGTAGTACCCGTTGTGAGATATAATTTTTGTAATTGGCAAATTTCGATGTCAAAACAAGTCCAATCGAGTTATAATTCTCAAGTTACATATTAAGATTGAGATCGACCGCGGAATTGGAAGGTTGTTCAAAGGTTGATATACTGAGATCTACGAAAAAGGTATGAACGACACTTTAGGAAGTTGTTTCCCACTTAGGACACTATACAAACCATGTATGTTCATTCAAAGTTTCAAATTCTTCAAAGTTTCCAAAAACAGAGTTTTTCCAAATTGGTTTTAAACCTTTCTTTAGAATTTTGTCAAGTGGAAACCAGTACCACATTTGGGAACTAGTTCAAGAACCATAACTTCGAAGAATAACGTTTTGTCCTTTGAGAACCGGTTCCAAAAGTGGCTACCGGTACCACCTGTTGATACAGTTTAGGATTTCAAGTTTCCTATTCTGTTCAAACTTCCTACTTGGCTTAGAATACTACCAAAAATCCTATGCACGAAAATTACCTTTCCTATGCATATCTTGGTCTTTGAAAATTCTAAATAAACATTGATTTACATCTAGGTTGATACGGCTTTTGCACTACAATTTCATAATTCTTAAAAGCCTATTAGAGAGATATTTTTACAGAAATCAAATCTGATTTTTCTGTCATTCTTTCTAGAACACACACATAAACACAAATTGAGTTTAGAGTGTTGTTCAAATCCTGATCATAATCAGTCTTGCATCTACAATGATCATAAAAAACAGATCTACTTCGTCTACATCAAATCCAGATCTTAAAGAACATAAATGAAGCAATCACACTTTGAACGGGTCAAAGCATTCGAGGAGTGTTGTTTAATCTACTAGCAATTCTTCTATAGATATCAAAAGTAAGCCTATGGTCAAATGCTGTTGGACGGGACGTCGCAAAGCCAGAGGATTGTCAGCGATTGGTGTTTGGTAGAACGATAGGGTGTGAGTCTGCTTCAAGTATTTTGCTTCAAATATAGTGGATCGGTTTACTTTGGACTGTACAGTCCATGAGATTTTTCCCGCTCAAACAGTTGGTCTATTTTACTAATTGGAGTTTTCCTCGCTAAAAATCCTAGTGGCATTACTTTATTTTATCTTGCATGAGATTAATTGATTAATTGTTATAATAAGTAAAGTTATAAAGACATATCTTTTTTTAAAATACAAAATTTTCTACGCAAGTAATCTTTTGTTGCACAACTCACATTGTAATAGCAATCAAGACTCAACTGAATGAATTTCAAGCATCGATGGGGTTGGTAACAAGCTACTACTAAGATGAACTAAGTTAAGAGTTACATTAGTTTAGCATATACCAAAGTTAGTGTTGTGTTGGTCGGGAGTACCTTTATTTGTAGAAGGATTGGGGGTGAACCAAAAAGGGATGTTTGGCTTATATGTTGATAACCAAACAGTAAAACTAACCAGGCGTCAGTTTGCCTTGCTATCTTAGGCAAAAGGGTATTTCATTTTTTATTCTTTCCAAGTGTCAGCTTCTATTTTCCTTTCTTCTACAATCTTGGGGTCCTTTTTCTTCACGTGAACCCATGAGAACCTTCAAAGTGCAATTACGTTATGTAGGGGGAAGCCGCGGTGCTAGAGGACGGGTTGGTCGACGTTGGGTCGACGACCTAACGGATCACGAGGTCGTCATCATCGACGGAGACAAAAGTCACCGCTATGAGATCTGGTGAGTAATGCCCACGAAAAGAGTCGAGTAACAAGATTGAGTTGTCGACGACGGGGATGTGAACTGAGAGTCCGTTGGAGAATCCATGGCCGCATAGGTTATCAAGGACCTTTTCCTTTCCTGTCAGTTGTCGAGCATTCAGCAGAGCTGAATCAGTCTCGCGGCAAAGAAGGCTAAGCCTGACTTGGCGATATGTACAGTGATGACGTGTAAATTTTGGTCAATGTTCACTTACAATTTTGATGATGTGCCTTTCTGTAATTGGTCGGGACCATGTATGAGGTGGTGGTCCCAGGACTACCTAATAATTTCTCCATCGCCAAATTACTCCACCGTAAGACTCTGATTCAATCAGCTCTGTCGGATGCTCGACAGGAAAGGAAAAGGTCCCCGATAACCTATGCGGCCATGGATTCTCCAACGGGCTCTCAGTTCAAATCCTCGTCGTCGACAACTGCATCTCGTTCTCTGACTCTTTTCACGCGCGCTACTCGTCAGATCTCATAGTGATGACTTTTGTCTCCGCCGATGATGACAACCTAGTGATCCGTTGGGTTGTCGACCCAACGCCTGCCAACCCGTCCTCAAGCACAGCGGCTTTTCCTCTAGAAATTGACCCACCGCTCTTTCCTGGCACCGACGCCACCCAAAACTGGTTCCTATGCATTTAGGCCCGCACCAGCTGCAACTACTCCAACAACCGCTTATCCTGCAACATTGGCGATTGCTGCAACGCCACCCTCGGCCAGTTCAGCCTCCACCACAGCCACTCCAACCTCTCCTTCTATGAAATTCACATACAAAAACAAAAGAAGTCCTGGGACCATGTGTGAGGTGGTGGTCCTAGGACTACCTAATAATTTCATGGCCTGACTTACAATTTTGCTGATGTACCTTTCTGTAATTGGCCGAGACCATATATGAGGTGGTGGTCCCGGGACTACCTAATAATTTCTCATGAAATGACAGCATGTGAAATATTATCAGAGCCATTTTTGATACATCACCATCAAAATAATTGTACATGATGATGTGGTAAGACTGGGGACTTTGTAAATATGAAATGCATTTCCTATCCCATTATTAATTAGGGTAAATAACACTCACCTCCTCTGAGATTTGGACAAATTACATACGGGTAGACCATTTAATAATTATTACTTTTACCTCCCTTGAAATTTGGCGCTTATGTTCAGCGACAACCCTAACGTTTTTTTTTTCCCGGTAGATGTGACCAAATTCTATACAATGTCAATTTTATCATTCTCTTGTATAAAAATCTTGTGCCCTTCCCTTGTATGAAAATTGGGGCATTACTGAATTTTCACGCACAAAGTCACCCTTCGGCAACCGCTAAACAAATTTAGGAGAAGGCAAAATAATAAACGTTGAACGGTCTACCTATATGTAATCCTCAGGTCAGTGTAATTTACCCTATTAATTACCCATGTCTTCTCTTGTAAGATTTAGCCCATTTTATCAAGTGGGTTTCATCCAACATGGTGGCCTACTTGATGCCTAGTTTTCTTTCAAGGGGAATTACCCGTGGCCTAGTTGGTAGCGCACCCACCTTCCTAAGTGGGTGTGCCCATGTTCAAGCCCCTGCTCCTCCCCTAGTTTGACAGGATAATAATAAAGAAACTGCACAAAAATGAGGTTATCAGTGAGCAATGGACAGTAGGATCTCTTTTTCCAAAGGGGAAGTTGAATCTTGGAGTCCACTTAAAATTGTGAATTTGTGATTGTGTGCATTTGCTTAAAATAAATAACACAAAATAATAATAAAAAGTGGCCCGCCAGTGTTAGGAGAGTCCGAATACCGGACTCTTCAAGTATTTTCCTAAAGATAATATGAATCAAAAATTAAACTAATTTTAAGTATATATTTTCAAAGAGGTTATAGATATAATTTTGAAACAAGTTACACAATTACCTGCGAGCAATCTGGGACGATTGGCGAATACGATATCGTTCTTGGTGAAGCACTCTTCCACAGCGGCAGGGGATGTGACTAAGAGGATATTGCGGGCCCCACACCGGAGTAGTAAGATCTCACCATATTTTTGGGAAAGTGATTGTAAAGTCCGGTGGACTGGTTGTTTCAGTAGATGGAGATGACCAATGATGGGTAAAGATGGTGGGCTTGGTGGTAGGCTTTTGTATATTTCTTGCTTCTGAATGAAAAAAGGCTTGAAGATCACGAGGAGGAAGACTATGATAGCCAAGACATACCAGTGGATTTGCAACATTCTTTCTGCTTTGTTGTTTTCTCTCTTAGATTTCTCACAACTAATTGCAGATTTCAGAAGATATACATGGATTTTGACTTTTTTTCTGCTTTTTGGAGTCCGTTGATTATTTTAAAAGCAGATATAATAATTTTAAGGGGTAATATTGTGAAGCTTGACAATAAATAGAGCGTTGGTGCCTAGGAGCTAGATGATGGGGTGGGACCGTGGAACAACTAACGTGTCTGGTCTGGAAAGAAACAAAAAAGTAAAGTGTCTGGCCTTTCCACTCGAACTGTACCACCACGAAATGCTTGAAAAAATAATATTTTATATTAAAAATAAATAAAACTACCATAGCTACGAGGGTAAATTACAATAACCTACTTAAGGTTTGGTTTAATTGCAACTAAATCTGTGATTTGTCAATTTTTTTTTGCAAAAGCCCTAATGTCAGATTTTTATGTTGAATTTACTCATCTACCCATATTATTATATTATTAAAAATTATCATAATATCTAGAAATAATAAATGACCCTTTTGCCCACTAAAAAATTTACCCAATAAAAATATTTCTATTTTTTCCTTTTTCTTATTGTTCCTCTTTCCTCTCCATCTCCACCAACCATCACCAGTGCCATCCACACCACCATCTTTAATTTTCGTCACTTTTAACATGTTCAACAATTTTTTTTTAGCGTGATGGAGAATGTAGAACGAGTTGAAGAAATCCGTTGGCACAAAAACTGATTCGTGTTCTCTAACGATGAAAGTGTGTTCATGTCGCTTTCAAAGGAAAACCCAATTAAGAGAAAGGATCTAAAGCTGAAATCACAAGCTGGTTTTGTTTCTTCACCTTCAAAATCGTCAAATTCGCAATAAAGAGAAATTTTCTAGCCTTTGAAGGGAAGCCCAGATAGAAAAATGGGTTTGAAATGTTTGAAATAAAAAAAGGCGATATGGGTCTTCAACTCTTTCAATTCATGGAATTCAGGAAACTAAATCATTAATATGGCAATATCAGAATTCAAAAACATTAGGATACGTGTAAAAAAAAAAAAAAAAATTCCAGACATGCCTCTTGTCGTCTAGGATAGTTGATGGATATTTTGGTCACTTCAATCATTTTTTTTGACAAAAAATGACTAATGTTTGTACGGAAGGGAGGCATTTGTAAAAATGGGCAAACCTCAAGAGAACACATTGCAAAAAACATGGCAAATCTCAGGTTTAATTACAGTTGTACCAAACCACAGGAAAGGTAATTGTAATTTACCTTAACTATAATAATCATTTACCACTTTCAGGTTTAAGTTTTAAAACTACATGTGAGCTAAGTCACATAAAGCAGGAGCGGGAGCGAGAACGAATTCGAGAGCGGGAGCGTTAAAACAGCAGAATTAAGTCATAAGCAGTGAGAATTTGAACGAAAGCGCATTCGGAGCGTGAGAGCGACACCTATTGTGAAGGATCGTGTGATCACACGTGAGTCAACTATTTTTTATTAACAAGGAAAATAGGAAGTGTGTTGTGTTGTATTAGATAGATAGGTATTATATTGTGGGTACCCAGAAATGGACCAGTATCACCTCCAATTGCACAGTGGTTCATTTTCTCCATTTTGGGTTGATGAATAGTGTTTACTATGTTTGGTAAAAAAAATATTTTCCTAATACATAATTTTCATGTGTATATATATATATATGTATGTATACACTATTCACATATACACCCTTTTTGTTCCATTCCTTATTTCTTCTTCCTTTTCCCTCCTTTATTTCAGCAATCCTTTTGAAATAGAAATAAAATCCCACCACTAGCCTTCTTCTCTCCCAAAATATGAATGAAGCCATTTTAGAAATTTATTTCTTTCCAAATAGAAGTCGGAAACAACGATTGTTGTGTGAATCAATCCAAAATTTGGATGCTACAAATTGTTTCGAAATAGAAGCAATGCTTCTGTCAGTCCCAATAAAATTACAGATTCTGATTTCCTTCCAAAAAGAAGCAGCAGTGTATTTCCAAAGCTAAGCAGGAGTGTATTTCCAAATTAAAGCAGGAGATCGCCTTATTTCCAACCCTAAGCAGGTATAATTCATAATTTTGAGATTTGATTTTGAAGGAAATCATCTTATTTCCATAAGAACTGAATGGCAAAAACAAATATAATTAGTAAGAATATATAGACACATTTTTTGTAAGAAACCCAGAAATAGAAAATTATTGGTAAATTTGAATTGATCGCCTTTTTTATTGTGCAGTTATTAGGGGTTTTAATGTTTGTTTGTGAGGATAAAAAATGAGAGGATTTGTAGGATACATGACTGCCGAAAAAGAGTGTTTTAGAGTGTTACAATGTTAAGAAAATGTTTGGTCGTTGAGCTTGCATTGCAACGTTTTCCGAAGTTGCATCCTAACTTTCTCCTAATAAGCATCCCAAATTCTTCCTTATCTATATTCTAATATTTTTGTAAAGTGAGTCACAACATTTTCCTAAGCTACATCATAACATTTTCGTAATATAAATCCCAAAGTATTTGTAAAGTGTATCCGAACATTTTCCTAATGTGAATCCCGAAGTTTTTGTAATATACATCCTAACTTTTTCAAAAGGTGCATCCCAAACTTTTCCTAAAGTGAGTCCCAACTATTTCATAAGGTGAATCCCAAGTGTTTGCTAACATAAATCCCAAATTTTTCGTAATATTAATCCCAACATTTTCATAAAGTGTATATGAAATTAGCATCAGTTGGTTAGATATATATGTTCTGTTGTGGCATAGAGGATTTTTATCGTCGTTTGTCTAAGATGTAGTTGATTGATACATGCAAAGAAATGAATAAGATATATGTCAAATTTAATTGGTCATACATGTGAAAAGGTTTTTTATTTGATTGGTCATACATGTGAAAATGTTTTGCATTTGAGATGTTGAGATGGAACATACTTAGGATGTAGAATTAAATTTTTTTTTTTTTTTTTTTTTTTTTTTTTTTTGTTAATTCAATATTTTATGCATATGTGAGAAAAGTTTTTGTATTTGAACCGTTCAGATGGAAGGTGAAGTAAATAATATTCAAGACATAATAAACAGATGAAACGTTCTTGTTGTAGAACCGGAAATGATTAAATGGAAACCAAGGTATAAAATGGAGTTTGATAGTGAGGAAGAGACATGTGATTTTTACAATGCATATGGTGGTTGAATTGGTTTTAGTATCCGAAAGGAGTATGGCAATAAAGTTAATGGAAGAATTACATCAAGGGCGTTAGTTTGTAGTAAGGAAGGTGTGAAGGGGACTGACAAACAGGATGTATTTAGAAAAACTCCCCGGGCTAAAGCACGAACCAATTGTGATGCACGAATGGTTCTTAGATATGACAAGACAAAGGCAAAGTACGTAGTTTCTAAATTTGTAGAAAGTCACAACCATCCATTTATAATTGCTGAATGCAGCCAAATGATGCCGTCCTAGCGACGAATTTCATCAATCTAGGCCATTGATGTTGAGTTAGCTTCGGATTCAGGAGTTCCAACTTGTAATGTATATGAGTTTATAGGAAGGCAATCTGGTGGCAAAGAATTAGTTGGGTACTTGAAAGTGGATCTTAAAAATTATCTAAGGATGTGAAGACAAAATGAGCTTCTTTATGGAGAGGCGGCATGGCTTGTGGATTATTTGAGATGCGTGCTTGTAAAGATCCTTCGTTCTTCTATTCCTTGCAATTGGATACTGAGCAAATGATTACAAACATATTTGGTCAGATTCTAGAATGATCATTGATTATGGCCATTTTGAAGATGTTATTACTTTGACACAACATACAAAGTGGTACACGGCAATAGACCATTTGCAATTTTCTTGGGTATAAATCATCACCGGGAGGCCATTGTGTTTGGAGTAGCCTTAATGTATGAGGAGACAGTGGATTCGTTTATCTGGTTATTTGAAACGTTCTTGAGAGCGATAGGCGAAAAAAAGCCAAAGATGATTATTACGGATCAAGACGTTATAAGGGTGAAGGCATTAAAGTAGGTGAATAACTTTCATGCATCTCCATTCTTACCACTTGGTGTGCTGAAACAATCATATTATTTCAGTCGTATTTTTTATATTTGCAATATTGGAACATGGGTATTAAGTTAATTAATCTTATAGGTCATGCCGGTGATAGAACATTATTTATGTGTTTGGCACTTAATGAATAATGCGCAGAAGAACCTACTGTTTCTGTTTAAACACGTTGAAGGAATAAAGAAGGTCATCTCAAAATTAAAGTTCCAAATTGAGGAGGAGGATGATTTTATCAAGGAATGGGATTTAATAATTGCAGATTATGGTGTTATTGGTACTAAGTGGCTTTCTACTTTGTTAGATTTGATACATAAATAGGCCCTGGCATTTGTCAAACACGACTGGTTTGCAGGAATGAGTAGCATGCAATTGAGTGAAAGCTTCACTGGTCAATTGAAGTATTACCTTTCCAAATAACTTATTCTACCAGAATTCTTCACACACTTTGACAGATTGTTGTCGGACAAGTGGTACAAGGAGTATGAAGCTGAGTATAGCTTGGTGGAGAGGCAACCGTAACTAAAAATAAAGTGCTACATATTACGTCAAGTGGGGAAGGTGTACACCAAGGTAATATTTCAGCTTTTCCAGGGGAGTTTTTAGCTGTTCTTGTGAGTGAGCCTGTTATTAGTTGCAGTGACTTAGATAACAATGGACATCGTGTTTATAAAGTTGCTGGTGAGGACGGTGTGACGGCCCAAGTTTTTCAACCCGGTGCGTCAGTGATGAACCGGAAGATGACCCGATAACGGATCCGAAATGCGAAAGCAAAAGACAAAACAATGGTCTCTAGAGATACAACATGGCTCTAAGACACCATTATGACCCTCAACGAGGTCACGGAACCCAAAGGAATCAAATGGGGAAGCAACGTTTCAAAAACGAATAAGAATGAACCTAGGGGCAAAATTATCATTTCTAGCTTAAAAGTGGGTGCCACTGAGCACACCATTGGAAAGACAACGAAAAATTAATGAATTTAGACTTAAGAATCACTTGATTCGGAGTCTGGATGAAGAAGATATGGCTAACGGAAGAAAAAGGGGCAAAACGGTCCAAAAAAGGCAACCCATGA